CGAGGAATATCTTATACGAATAAACATGGGCATGTTTGTCTACATGACTCACTCTTGGCAGAGTTCCAAAGTGTTTGGCTCAATAATACGATGAAATACGATCGATTTGAACTTATTAGATCTTGTCGGAGTTGCGCTATTTTTGGTCTTGTTTACTTAGCCTTGACATGAAAGCAGTGCTGTATCCGCTGTACTGATGGCTGCTGGTACGTTCCCTGGGTCCGAACTGAGACAGTCAAATGCCATAACTGGGCCAAGACAAAAGGATGCAGAACATAACTAAAAACTGGACATAGCTAAAATATAGATSAGATGATATTTTGGATTTCTTATATTTTTTTAGGGTCTTTGGTGAAAAGAGTTCTCTCCACTCGTTTGATTTTTATCAAACTTCTTTGGCGACTTATATAAGTAGATCAGTAAAAAAAAAAGATAAATATCAAAGCAAAAAACTTTTTCATTGTRAAAAATATTGAAATCAAGACATCGAAATTCGCTTACCACGGCCGTTTTTTTATTTTTTTATTTTACTTGCAAATTTACACATCAACTTCTTCCGAATCAGATTCCGCCACCTTCGACTCCGCTAGCTTTCGTCGCAAGTGAAAACCAGGCTTTAACATTAGCTAGTTCCCATTAGCCGGCATACGTTCATACCTTAACGTAACTTTTGTTCAGTCCGTCTGCAAACTATCAACAGTTTTCATGTTCCCTGACTCCCAGAAGTGTATCTGGATTCCATTACRCGATCTGATTGGCTCTTTTTTAAGAAAGTTTGTCAATTGGCTATAACTACCCTCGTCAGTCCCCACTTAAACGTCAGACCGGTTTGAAGCTGGTCGAAGTCAATAAATGTCGGATTTATTTCTTGGTTCATGACTACTGTGATGATCAGGTTAACTTWGGTGTGATTGCAGTGTTTACTACGGAAATGTATGGATGATTTGATTCGACTGTATTGCTGAAATATAAAAAAACAATGAAAATATCCAATCTMCACTTCAAAAAATAAAATCATGACAACATTTCAACATTTATTTGATGAATACATCGACAATATGTCAAAAAAGCTAGTGCAATATCTTAATACTCACTGTGAGATGAAGCTCACTTAATTCATCTTCGCGGTTTTCTGGTAGACAGAGCAAGTAGTACATGAAGCCATCCTGCAATCATAACACAAATTACTCCTCAATATAATTTGTTCTTCTTTATTTTTAACGTTTAGTCGCTAAATTAAGGTAGCCGGACGGATTGGTAAAAAGAATAAGGAAACGGAACTTTTTAATTTGGGGATAGGAGAAAATGCTTTCRAGTTCTTCGTTGAGAGAAATATAAACCTTTGCAATAGTCTTCACACACATGCACACAAAGAAGAAAAAGTCAAAAACAAAA